AGTACCTTTGGGGAACTACAAGCAAGGGATCCTTTTGCACCCACAGCAAATCTTTAGGAGACTGTGGTCCAAGTAAAGGTAGTAAGTTCACACTTCCCACCAAAAAGCAGCAGCGAGGTATCTCATGTTTGCACACAACTAAACCCACCAGAGACCTTCCCAAGGCAAAATTCCTGAAGCCACCCAAGAAAGAGGAATTTGCTCCTTTAGTTACATGCCATCTATCATGTGGTCTTTAGTGTGGGTATTTACAACTGGGGAGAAGATGCACTCATTTGAGACGCTTTCTTCCTGACCAAGAAGGATGCATTCTCTTCTGGACATTCTTCACAGTTTGTGTCCAACCAATATTTGCAGAGTTAAACTAAACTGGATGGACAAATTGCCTCTCCGCTCAAAAGCAAACACATGAAAAAAATTAAACACCAAGCGTCCACTTCTTTTTAATTCTATTTCAAGACAAACACACCCAAGCCATCCTGAATACGGCTCCTCCCAACACCAGGTACCACAGAAGGAGAGTGTGGGCCGCACACCATCAAATTATCCACTAGGGGCCAGTTATTGTAAACACCTCCATCCATAAACCTTTTATTGGCACAAACAGAAATAATGTTGAGAGGAGAGGACAATTGTTTTGCTTTTCTCGAATGACTTTCTAACCACACTAATAACTCATTGCTTTTCTCAAACTTAATTACCTAATCTGAGAAGCTGAATAAGGCTTAAGCTTACACTCATATATCAGGAAGACAAACAACAGATCTAATCTCAGTGATGCCCTACATGCTAATGATGCTTGGAAACAGGCATCTCGCTGATGAGTATACACATCCTGATATACTCATTTAAATATATCACTTAGAGCCAAATATAGATGTTGGTCAAAAACTTACTTAAAAAAAGATCTCCTAATGACTCAGGACAGCATTCATGTGACCTTATAATATTCAAGGAAAAAGATCCCCAACCATCTGTCTGGCTACAGCTTCCCTCCGTCTCCTTCCAAAGGCACCCTGCAGGAGCCGCAGCAGACATGCCACTGATAATTATGGACCACACCAATGTAAGCCCAATGTTCCAGATGTCCAATAAAACACAAAAACAAGCAGCTTAAAGTCTGGAGCCAAACCTTATGCAAACATCTCACTCAGTTTAGCCACACTGTATTTCTCAATGGATACAAAAAGAATTTTTAAGTAACAATGATGTAATCTCAATAATCACTTACTTTTACGGGAAGAATTGCAATGCATATTAAATAAAGATTACAACCATGTGGTAATTCTCTAACTTGAGGCTGTTCTGACATGACTGCTTAGGCACCACTGCAGAGATCCCAGTTCGAAATCACAGGAACTGGGCTTAGAGTGCAGCATTTTACACAAGCAGGTATTGAAGCATCACAGTAGAGAAACCCTGCTGTATCAGATCTAACTTGCTTCCACACACGATCCTTGGATTTAGATTCTGCTGTCCGGGCAGCCAAGTACAAAAGGATGAAGAGGAAGCAGCCACTGGATTGTAATGGAAGACCTGGCAGGCGTGAGGAAGGACAACGTATTCTCCAAAGCTTTTTGTAAATAAGCACAGTGTGTTCATGGGGGAGGGGACTAAATCTTCCTAGCATCAAAAATCTACCAACAACAAAAATCTACCAGATGGTACTTCATATAAAGGACATTAAACAATAGAAATGAACATGTTCCTATAGCAATCTGGAGAACACATGGAAATGGCACCAAGTGGGTATTTCTTATTCTAATTTAGCATTAAACATGAGGACAAACTTCATATGCTGCTGCTCCTAACCAGTATGGTCTTCTTGGAGAACTTGAAAGATGCATGTTCCTTACAGCCTAGCAATTCTATGCCTCAGTATAGACTAGATGGGGAAGATTTACTTACGTATAGCACACAATGTATAAGTCAGTGTCACGAGCACCCAGAAGCTGCTTTTGCTCAGAAACTTTAATTCCTCTCCTAGACCCATAATGTAACTGAGAGCAGAATGAAAGCCTGGAATCTCTGCCTTCATTCTGTATCTAAGCAACTGAAACTCCCCATTAAGTAACAGGAGGCTCCAGGAAAGACACCACAGCAATGACTTATGATGCAGAGGCCAAAGCTTAGAGCAGGGACAAATCGTCACCCGAGAACTAGACAGGCACAATTTCTCAGAGCCAGAACTGAGAAAATGATCAACCAGACCACACCATAACCAAAATCGTTTCATTATACAAACCTCCCCCCTGCCCTAATCCCTCTTCTTTTTAAACCTAAAGCTCAGGTCTGTATGCCGAGGATGGGCTTAGGGTCATGGGGCCTTTATCTGCTTCTCTCCTTCTCTGCCCTTTGCTGTTGTATTGGGGTGGGTGGCTGAGCCCAGACCACGGGGGCTTCTGGAGCTGGAACTTATGCCCCATTGCTCAAGTAACACAAGTACCAATACTGTTTACATCTGTAGGAAACTGAACTCCTGCTAAATCCCTGCCAAGGAATGTGTGGTACATACATAGTAACTGGTATAGTAACATATATTGTGGAAATATATATTATTTCCACAACACAGTTGCATTTATAAATATAGCGAAGGGAGAAAGCCACTCATAGATTAGTACGACACAGTGCTCATAAAACTTAAAACTATACCAAATGCTGCTGGGTATTGTTTCAAAGAACATCTATACAGCAAAAATGTAGAGAAAGGCACTGGATGAACAGACCACAGACAAGCAGGATGTAGTGATGAGGATGCTTCATTTCACCTTACATTCCGTTATCCTGTTCGATATCTGTCATAGTGCACCTATTACTTTTATAATCAAACAGCTAAACCCAACATGTCTCTGGTCTTTATTAGCTACCCAGTCTCAGGTATCAGACTGGATACCCATCATTTATTCCACTGCTCCCCACGTCTACACTCTGATCATAGAATCCCCATGGTCCTGTGTTTAAAAGGTTCCTGTGTTCATCATGTTCCTCTGTAACCTGGGGACAGAGCTAAAGATTTGAATGGATTTAGATTTGGTGCTTTGACCAGAAGACATCATGGCCTCTGTTTCAAACCAGACCTGATGTCTGGTCGTCCCTCTTCTGGTGACATGAGTCATTTCTGACTATGACCTAGATCTGTAAGTACCTTAAGGACTACAATGTAATCCATAGCACCCTTTCTTGCTACTAAGCCACAGAGTTTCTATAAGAAAAACTTCCCCTCAAGTCAGGAGAGCTACTTCATTTTTCCCCAAAATAACTCATGATTATTTTTGGTTTAGGTACCATTGTAACTCATTCCAACACCCTCCAAAAGTGATGAATACATTTTGCATTGTTTCGTTAGGATCATAAATAGTTGGACATACTCTCTCCTCTGGAAAGCACTAAAACATGTGCAAAACTACCCTCACAAATAAAACACAGAGCAAACAAGTCCCTCCATGGCCTGTGGCTTCCTCTTCTTGGCCATTCTTCTCCAATGGCACCTCACTTTAGACTCACTCCATATCCCTTGCTCATTGGAGCATGGACCTGACACTTTAATGTTGCTAGTGATACAGCTTTGCTAGGAACAGAATCTTGCTGGGCCTTTCAGCACTGCTGAGCGTCTCTCTTGCCCCTGAGAACCCACCTAGAAAAGGCTAGGCACAATGGTGCAAGCTTGCAGCCCCAGCACTTGGGGAATTGGCCAGTCAGCATCTTGCAGCTTGCTGGTCAGTCAGCTTAGATCAGGTGGCAAACCTCAGGTCCCACTGAAAGACCCTGTCTCAGAGAAACAAGATGGACGCTCCTGACTCTTGAAGAACACCCCAGTTGACCTCTGGCTTCCGTATGCTCTTGCACATAGGAACATCCTCCCTCCCCCGCCACCTCTCTCATCTCCAGTCTGTAGTATTCTGTCTCAGCAGTAGCAAGATTAAAATACTCCTGCCCCTTCCATAGGTACCAGGACTCTCCATCCAGATGTGCACACCACTGTTACCCCTGACAACTCATCTCGCCTCCATCACTGGACCCATCTCTCACCAAGTCCTGATTTACTTCAGGCTTTTCCTGGAGGGCCTCCCTCTAGTTCCTTCTCCCACTGTGCCTACTAATGCTGATGCCTGCACCTGCCACTCCATCTGAAAAGCCCTCTGACTAGTGAATGCATCCTTCAGCGAGACCCTCAAAAGTCCAAAGAAAGACTGTTTCAACGTGCAGATTTTAAGGTATTTCAGTATCTGCCCAAGTTCATTAATATTGGTAACAGGTAAATTCTGGTAGGATTCAAGGGTCAAGTGTCTACCCATGAAGCTGGACAGTAACAGACACACTACATAGAGAGCTTGGTTATTATATAGTGTTATGTTTATAGTTATATGTTATACATATATTGTATTTACATAAATATTATAACACAGGAGATACAGACCAGTCAAGAACTGATAAACTGGGAGATATGAAATAGATAAACTATAAATTCCTTTTAGTAAAACCATGGTATTTTACTCATATTGCTAAGAATGCATGAAATTAAGCATACATATTGAGGTTGTAAGTCCTGGCCAGTTACATGCAATGCTTGAGAGCAGAAATAAATGTGAATTAAACAATCTTGCTTGGTATTTCCACCTCAACGGTGGGGAGGGGTGAGTTTCAGCTTCCCACGCTGGAAGGCACACCGTAGCTGCTTTTCTCCATTCAAATACTGACTTCTATTTCTTCACAACCTTTCGGCTAAACCTGGATGTAGTAGGTATTGATTCCCTCTCTAAGATTTTGCTTAAAGCACTCATTTAAAAGACTTGAAAAAAAACAAGACTTGCTGTAGGGAAATGACACCCTCGGTCGGTCTCTTCCATATTAATGCGTGTGGTGACTAATGATTTATGTTCCCGAGCCCTGAGAGCGTTGAGTGTAAACTCATCCAAACACGCACATAAGAAGGGAGTTTGTGTGACAATGTGGCCTCGGCTTCTATTACGAGATACATTCAAAGAGAATGAACACTTTACCTTGTGAAAATGGCGTCCACAATCCCAATTGTTGCTTCCTCTGCAGGAACATAGGACCCGATCTGAGCCATGATAGCCACCAGCGCGACCTGTTTTATGTAGGAGCTCTTCCCACCCATGTTTGGCCCAGTGATTATCATTACTCTCTCAGAGTCCTGCTGGAAACAAACAAACAAATGGAATTTCACTTCGTGCACCAGAAGGGGATGGTAAGGGTTGGTTTTTAATTGGAGAGTGCAGATTGAGATAGGGTTTCGCTATATGATCCAGGCTGGCCTTCAGCTCACTATGTAGACCAGGCTGGCCTCATATTTCAATCTCCTGCCTCCACCTGCCATGAACTGGAATTCCAGGTATCCACTACTTTGCTTGGCTCAGAGGGTTTTTGTTTTGTTTTGACTTTCATGTGGCGTCTACAATTCATCCCACAAGAGACTTCCCAATGCACTGCTCTGCGACCTATTTGCACGTCATTGAATTAATCCACTTCCCGTTCCTATAAAAATGCCTGGGGCTGGGTGATTTGTTAAAGAAAGAGTTTCTTTGAAGTCAAAGTTCTAGAAACTCAAGATCCCAGTGCTGGCTTGTTCTCGGGCCTGGTAAAGGTTTTCACAGTGGGTGGCATGAAATGGTGGTAGTTCATGCCAGAGTTATTCACTTTGTACACGGAAAGTGAGAGGCTGGGAGCGGGTAGTCTTGCTCTTTTTATAAAGGCCCATTGTCAGGAAAAAGAATCCATTCCAGAAGACCGGCATCAATCCTTCCTGAGGGCAGCACCCCCAGTGACTCAGTTACCTTCCACTTGGCTTCATCTCTTTTGGGGGCAGGGGTAGTGATGACAAAAGACGCATAGATGGTCAGCAAGAACATGAAAAGCTGACCAATTTCCATAAGGAAAATGACGCCATGAAGGGACACCAGCACTCCACACACACAGGATAATAAACAGCAGAAAAGAATGAAGAGGAAGAAAGCCTGGGCAGCTGTCAAGGTCAAGTTTTGGCGAAGATGAGAGAGGGGCTGGAATTTTCACTCCACTGTGGGAGAAAAACTCCGCACACCATTTTGAAAAGCTGCAGTGATATCTGCTAAAGCTGAAAATAGACAGAGCCAAACAACTCTGCTCCCATGTACACGCTGAACGGAAATGAGTATGATATACAGCAAAGGACATGGAAAAGACTGTTGTTGGCAGCGGCGGCACCTCCCACGACAGTGAGTTGGAGTATCTCACGTTTCCCCGTCCTGGAACACACAAACAGAAGACGCATCAGATAAGATGTGTGCAGATGTAGGAGAAGGCCAATGGTGCAAAAGAAAGCCCAGCAGCCAAGGGCGGGCTGGTGAGCCAACAAAGACAACGGTGGGAAAATGGTGAGCTGTCTGAGAATGAATAAGGCCCCAAATCTCAGGAACCCTAGTCTAGGTGGATGAAAGAATAAACCATGAAAAGCAGAACCCACCACTTTTAAAAGAAAACATAGGAGGAAAGGTGGAGAGTGAGTTACTTAGTGGAAACGAAACAGTTCTGCCCAGGTCAAACATAAATGTGTATGATGTGCACCAGAACGTCAGTAAAAGACTGCTCACAGCTGCCTCAGATTGGAAACTGCTCCGGTGTTTATCAACAGATAAGCCATGATCCAGCCGCACAGAGACAGCTAGGACAAGAAGAACACACAGATAAACACTGTCAAGAGAAGCTGTTAAATCGCCACACAGAACATGAAAAGGCAGCCGCATTATGTAACTCCTACCTCTTAACAACACTGAAATCGTGGGATATAAATAGGCTATTTGCAGCCAAAGAAACACAGGAGATCTAAAAGCGTATTGGCAGGAAAGGGTAATGAGAAGCGTCGTACAGGAGCGCTACAAGCACTCCTAACATCTGTGTGAAAGAAGAGCTGGTAAACAGCCGAGGAAAGGAAACCCGTACGCTGTGGAGACAGCTGTGCTCCTGGGTTTACTGTAGCACGAGTCACAATGGCCGAGACGTGGAGATGACCCATCAACCTCAGAGGGCCTGTCAATAGACGAAAGGAAAGGATAATATTCCACTGCATGATAATAATATGATGGTACCTCCACACAATGGAATATTATTGTGCATAAAAACAGATGATAAATTCTGTTATTTGTTGCCAAATGGATGGAACTAAAGGCCACTACGCTAAGTTAAATAAGCCAGGTACGTGATCAGATTCACATGGAGAATATAAAACTCTTGCTCTCATTCAGGAGGGAGTGGCCCCGAAGCTGAGGAAGCAGAGGGATGAAGTCATCAGTGCTCTGGAAGCTGCAGTGGTCACACAGCAGGCCGACCACAGAAGCTGAGGGCGCACGGTGTATCGAGAAGCTAGAAAGATTTAGAACGTACTTGTTGTGTGAAATATCTGTTTTTCTAATAATCCTAACGTCTATTTCCAGTATTTAATTGTGTGTACCAGGGAACATTTTGAAACTTGCAAAGTCAAAATTAGCAATGAAGACTGAAGTGTGTGGAAGCTTATTTCTAAGCAGTCTTCTAACTGACCTTTCTGACCTCCATGCTTATTTCCTGGTCCAAACACCAGTTTCAACTGTTTAATATAATGCCATAGCATGATTAAAAATTATCCTAAGACTTTAAAAATGTAAGGAATTGTCTGTGTTATTAAATTAAAAATACATACTATAAAATACTTAATATGAGATGGTCACAGTTATGCTTTAAAAAGGTAAATAAAGCCAGGCAATGGTGCATACCTTTAGTCCAAGCACTCAGGAGGAAAAGCCAGGCAGATCTTTGAGTTCAAGGTCAGCCTGGTCCACAGAGTAAATTCCATGACAGCCAGGGCTACACAGAGAAACCCTGCACCAAAATGAATGAATGAATGAATGAATGAATGAATGAATGAATGAATGAATGAATGAATGAATGAATGAACAAACAAACAAACAAATAAATAAATAAGACAAAAAAGGGTAAATAAAAGGCCAAGGGTGTCTGTCCAAATGCCAACAGCAGCTCCCTCCGATTAAGGAGCGGTTTCCTCCTCTTTCTCACTTTCTTCACACCGTAAACCTCAGTCCCTAACTTACTCATAACTGGGACCTGCAGAAAGTCAGCACTGATACCCAGGTAGTAAATACATATTATGCTGAGGACCATGGGGGGGAGGGATGGAGAGATTTTACCTGTAACATCAGTTTCTATGAGAACCCTGACAAAGGAAAAAGCCCACAGAACAGGAAGGTAAAGGAATAAAGATGGGGTCTGGAGAGGTGGCTTAGCACTTAAGAGCACTCAGTGCTCTAGCAGAGAATCCAGGTTCAATTCCCAGGACCCACATGGTGGCCATTAGTAACTCCTGTTCCAGGGGGACCCCCCCTTCTTCTGACAGCCTTCCAACCAGGCATGCACATGGTGCACACACTTACAGCAGGCAAATGCTTATACACAACAATAAATCTTCAAATAAAAAAAAACATTTAAGAAGAAACAAATATGAATAAAGAATGGGCCCACATGCTAGAAAGGTGGTTTCTACAAAAGCGTTTGGGCAAGCTGGTGTGGTTCTCTAGGCCTCAGTATCTTCCCCTTAAAACACAGACAGTTCAATTAAATGGTCTCTCAGCCTAAATCCAGTCACAGGCCATAGGTGTGTGGAGCTGGAGCATAAGTCTTACACTGTACCCAGAGACTTCCCTGCACACACACTACAAGGGGAGGCCGGGGAACGCCTCTGTACCTGCTGTGTGGATAAAGAGATGCCCAGGAAGCCTGGACACACCGCAGCTGCTACTAAGGCAGAGAATGTTCCCGGCCACCTCTGCATTTGTGGAGCTCAGACAAGAACTCATTTTTCCACTCACTAAATTCAACTGCTTACAGGTAACAAATGGCATATTCTTTTTTTTTTTAAATATGTTTTAAGATTTGGTTATTTTATGTGTAAGAGTGTTTAGCTTACATGTCTATACACACATACCACATACATGCCTGGTGCCTGTGAAGGCCAGAATAGAGTATTAGAGTTCCCAGACCTGGATGGCTGTGAGCTACCATGTAGGTTCTGAGAACTGAACCCAGGTCTTCTGCAAGAGCAGTGAGTGAAGACCACACAGCTGAGCCATCTCCCAGCCCAAAGGCACTTTCTTCACAACCCTAAAGGACCCCAGACAAGAGGCATTATGAACATAAACGGGAGACACAGCAGTGAAGGATCACCAGGCACAGAGACAGAAACACTTCCCGGGTCCACCTCTGCGGTCTCCACTCTGGGGGTAGCCGCAATGGCTCCTGGCTAGGATCTCTCCTGGCTAAAGGGATAAATGAGCCCTCTCAGGCTCCTCCGTAAGGGCACTCATCCTATTCAGGAGGATTCCACTCTTCAGATCTAATCAACTCCAATGACCAGAAACACGCCTCTTAACACTATCAACTTGGCACTTAGGATTTCCACGTGTGACTCTGGAGGGGACACACCCCTGCTGACCGAGCAGTGGGTCTTCTCAGAAGCCTGAGCTCATCACAGCAGCTGCTTTGCCCCTCATCTACTTGGGTAGCCTTCTGCCTCTTTTCAGAACTTGCCCCCACACAGCTGGGTTGCAGCAGGGCATTCCCGGTCTCTTCCCTGCCTGACTTGCTTATCTAATCCACACTTCTACCAGGTTCCTTTGGTGCCAGAAGACTTGATGTTTGCTCTCCGGTGACCAGCCAGGAGGCTGGTTCCAGGCTCATTCCTGCTTTAAGGCCTTCCCACAGGTCTGAGCAGGAAAGACCTCCTGCAGCCAGGCTGTGTGCTGAGCCCTCCGCCTGTTACATTCCCCCATTCCATTTCCTTTGTTTCCTCTCTGAGATGACCTTATCTTGCTTGCATGAAATGACCCATCTCACTACTAGAAAGTTCCCATGATAGATGAGTTTGATAGTCAAATGTGTACAAAGAAGATATCTACCACATTTACATTTGAAAAGCAATGTCTTCCCATAAAAATTAGGAAGACATGAGTCCTTTTCTCCATCCCAAGATGACAAAGTAGAGAAGATAACGAGCAAGGACTTCACCCGCCCATTTAATGTGCTTATCTGTCTTCTGACTAGGATTGGTATCTGAGGTACCACACATCAAAGTTCATAGCACCAGATACGTTCAGAGCACACATTAAATCT